TCGATGAATCCTCACAGTTTTAGAATTTTTTTGAGACACAGAAGTCAACAAAACATGTTTAAATGCTCATTCAGAGTTAGCTGACAAATTAAGGTTCTAGATATTGCAAACACAAATTTCTGTTATGTAACCTTTATTTAACCAGACATCACACATTAATATCACTGAAGTAACTTTGACTTAATCACCTCCCTTGGCATGGCTGTATGTGTATGAGCTTGAGAGCACCAACACAAGGCCATCACCAACCTCGCAGTGGAAGCATCAATAATATTAAATGTATATGTTTAGCTACATTTCATCACAACTATTTGTGTATAAGCACACAAAATGAATTAATTTGAGAAACTTTGATGCAGTATGCTTTCTTAACGAAGTCCTCTATGCATTGTTACAGTGTGGTTGTCGACTGGGTGCTGTTTCTCCAGGCTGGGGCCCTAGAGCGGCCTCGGTGGCAGGACAGAAGGAGCTCGTGGAAGTTGTAGGCTTTAGTTGTACCGTAGCAATTACTGTCTTCCGCCTGTCTGATTATCTTCAGGAGACTGGCTGTTCTCTCATCATGGTTGACAGTGCAAGTAATTTGAGTCATCCAAAAACTACAAAATTGTAACATTCCCCCCTTTTACTTATTTAAAATTTGTAGTTGTTTTTTATTTTACTTTACAACTGATAAGGTGTATCATTACTGCACTGAAGTTAAAATTGTTTGTGAGCTGAAGTATTTGCATGTTGCTGTCTCTTTCTTTTTTTATTAAATATATGACAATCTAAAGTATCGTCTAATGCATGATTGCACTGACATGATTCCCTCCTGCAGGGTGCCTACTGTCAGGAAAATAAAACAGCATGGCTCTGTAAATGGTGATGTCAGTTTGGTCCAGACTGAAATATCTCAACAACTCTTTGATGGATTGCAATGCCATTTTGTACAGACATTCATGGTCAGCAGAGGACCACTGGCTTTGATTCTCTGACTTTTTCTCCAGCACCACTAGTAGTTTGTACTCATATCTCAACATCCACGCACTTGATTGGCACAAAATTTTGGACAGAGATTTATAGGTCACAGACAATAAAGCCTGATGTCTTGACTTCTTACCCAGCCAAGAGGTAAAACTGTTGATTTGTCCAATACTTTGGTTTACAAAATAATTAAATACTAACTAACAATATTAGCATACATGTATATTAAGTTAGGAGTCACTGTTGTTGAAGTTAGAGTCGATTTGAGAATCTTTTTTGATTTTGCTAGGTAAAGTCTGATGTCCAAACTCTGGAGTAAAGGTCTTGTGTAGGATATACACTCATTTTATTAGGAGCATCTAGTTATACAGTACAACAGTCCTGCAATGAATCCTCCCTTCATGAAGATGATAATGTTCTGTCTTTGTTTAAGAGAAATTTGACTCAACTCCATGAGAGTTGACGACTGTAGGTTTTGCTGATGTTGAACTATATTATTTTGTCTCCCTCCAAAAAGGGGTAAAATATCCTCAAGGCTACGATAACGTCTCTGTAGATTACTGCACATATACAATAAATCTATTTAAGCAATACCTTTTTAATGCAGTAGGAGGCAAGCAAAAACTTTTTGTACCACAAGTCAATACAAACTTGCTGTAAAATGCATCTGAGAAAGTCCTAAGTCTTTGCAGGAATTTTGTAGAATTACACTAGTCTTCACTTGTGTTTTTTGGATGCCAGTGCAAGTATCTGAGTGGGCTAAATTATACAATCCACATCTTAACACTCTGGGGGAAACAATAGCATATATAAATAGGAACATAATCAGAACTCTCTCTCTCTCTCTCTCTCGCTCTCTCTCACTCTCTCTCTGTCTCTCTCTCTCTCTCTGTCTCCCACACACACACATACACACACACCACCAGCAGGGATCAGGGAAGATGCACCAGGCAGGAGCGAGTTCTTTCAGCTACTATGGAACAACAAGATGAAGCTCACACTAGAGACATGCAAGTTTGTGCAAAAGAAATCTTGGAGCCAATTAATGAAAAAGCTGTTTGTCTGGTAAAGGGGAACAAGGAAGAACAGAGGAGGAGACAGTTTACACAGTAAAGCTGCTCAAATATCTTTTTATGAGGATGAAACCACTGTTAGTCTTCAATCTGCAGTAACACAAAGGTGAGTGTTTTATATATTCTTATTTTTCTATATGTGGTGATGTTTGTTGGAGCTAGATTATTAAATATGAG